CAGATTTGCATTCTTGTGACTATAAATGCATGTTCTTCACTAGAGAACCCCTCAAGAATGAATCAGGTGTGTGAAGGGGCAATAGCATTCACATAGCCCAAATTTCCATCTCAAGTGTCATTAGTTTGCTCTATATTGGAGAGCTGTCATTCTTATTAGGTGAGTTTCCTGTCTAGGCAGTTTATATGTCATTTTTTTCCTAGAACTTTGGGCTCTGAAATATAACAGAATTCTTAAATTTCTAGGTTATGTTGAAATTATGTTCCCATTGTGGATGATCCTTTGAGTACTCCATTGTGTGTGAGTGTGGGGGTTGGGGGGGGAGATGTACAACTGCCCCCTTTCAGTCTTTTCTAGTAATCAGGGTATTTTTGAATACACCAAATTTCTATTTTATGTGTCCTGTAAAACTAATTAATTAGTACAGAAGTGAGGCTATGCATTTTATATGCATAATATATTTATATAAATCAGCATACACTATTATAGTGTATACCTACCATAATTCAACAGTGGTGACTTAGTATGTCAGCAAAAAGAAGTCATGTGAATGTTCCTATATTCATTGTCGAATTTAGGACCCCAAAATAGTCTTAGCTTATGTTGTTATTTTAGAAATGTTTGATATTATCTGTTATTGCTTTATTCTTGCGGCTTCATAATTATGCACCAGGTGTATGTGTAGCTTTTTTATACACAAATACATGTCATGTTCATTTCCTGTTAAGCAGAAAAGTGTAATACAAAGTGAAACAGAAATGCATTTTTGGAACTAAATTTTGTGGTGTAGACTGTATATATGATATTTCTATTATTTGGAAAATAAGAGGCCTAAATTATTTGGTTAAAAGAGATATAGACTAAGACATTGAAGCCCTCTTTCTCTCTCTCTCTCTCTCCCCCCCTTTCCTTTTAAACAGGGTATCCTTTACACTGTACCGACATAAATGTCCATCTGTCTCAGTAAACCTTACTGGGCATAGTTAACACGTTCCAAGAAAACTGTATTCCTATTGCAAGCTCATGGACTGTAGGGTATCACATACAGACAATTGCTCCAGTTCATGGTATGAACTCACATAAACAGAAAGAAAAGGTATATTTAAATGCTATGTACATATCTGTAGCCAATTTATGAAAAAAATGGTGTAACATAAGGTTAAATCTGCATTATCCTTCTTTGCAACTGAAGAAAGGCTGATTTATTTTTGTATGGACTACTATTTGGGGGAAATTATCCAGCTGGATATTGAAAAAATTGTCAAAATTATTAAAATTGAGGTTCTTGACTACACTGATAGAATGTGAAACTTTCTAGCAACAGGTTAACAGAGCAAAAAGCAAAACAACAAAAACCCTGTATAATTTGGCATCAGAACTGGAAATATGTGAACCTGTCACTGTAAGCAGTCTCAAAGGGCAAACTGCTTTGCTGGAGCTAATTAACCTTAGGAAATAATTACACAAATATGCAAATGTTGTTTAGATAATTCCATGTGTTATCAGCTCAGGTAGTCCATCATAACTGCAGACTTTGCAGTGTCTAGGTATTAGTATCTGGTGTAGTTGATAAGGCTTTGGTTTCTGCATGTGTTCAGCTTGGTATTTAAGAATTAATGATGGCAATAATCCATTCATGATTTTAACCTGCATTTTGAAAGCTCCAGAAAACACTGTATATACTGTATGCACACTGCTTATCTGTGTACACTAATGGCTTGATTCATTAAAATGTTATATGCCTTGCCAGTTTACTGTCAAATGGTACTAGTTTTTTAAGACAAAAATGAAGATTCCTTAAATTGTTGTATTCCAAATAGGTCTTCTAAAATGGCCCTAAAATGGATATTGATTTTGTTTACAGAAAATGTTATCTTTTTCAAGGATTCAGCTGATTTTATTTCTAATGCAATCCTGTTTAACTTCATTCTGAAGCAGATTTATTTGTGTCAATCTCAAGATATTATATGCTAATTTAGTGGGCCATGCCTAGAAGTTACTGGGAGACTGTCCTTCATATTTTGTATGCTGAGCATCAGGGGATACTCTTAATGAGTTTCTTTTACACTGTTTTACTGTTAGATCACTAGTATCTTCCCAATATCAGAAACATTATTATATGAATAAAATGTGAATATTCCTCTTCTCATGTCCGTAGCCTGAGTAATGGAAAAGCTTTCCTCCGATATTATGAAGAATTTTGTTTTGATTATTGTTTGTTTTCCCTTTGGTTTCCACAGTGAGGTTTGCTAGTGAACTCTGAAAGACTTCACTTTGCATCTCAGAATGCAAATTATTCTCTCCTTTGAAAATCTGTGTGAGAGTCTAGCTGGGGTTCATACTTGAAACATAAAATACAGTTCTGACTCAGCACCCTAATTTTCATTCTCGTGTCTCAGGTTTCACATTGTGTTATGTATCTTGAAATTGGCTTCAGCAGTTAAGCAGATTTCATACTGAAACTGTACCATGGAAGCCCTTAGGGAGGAACTAAACTTTCATGTCATCCTTCATGGGAGATACTGCATTGAATTGTATTTTGTATTTTTCATCTTGTGTTTGAAAGTAAATGTTGATTATCACAATTATTAGTTATAAATTAGTAGCAATAGTAGCAACAGTAGCAGTAGTAGTACTGTAATACTGTACTACTCATACGTAATTAATCAAGATTCTTTTCACAGGAAAATCTTTCTCTTTTGAGGGCAGGAAAAGCAGAGCACTAGAGTAGTTGCCTCATTCAGTTCCCTCCCCCTGCTTGGAAGAACTTGAAGCATCAAATTTATTCCAAATTTCAATATTTAATTAAACACTATAAATAAGCAAACAAATGAATTGTTGAATGATCGATTTAAAACAAAGACATAATTTGTTCAGCCAATTATGCTTCAATATTACTATCTGGAATATTTATGCTTTTTATAAAATAGAATAATGTGAGCCCTATTCAGGTGTTCAGAACCACAGTTACTTGATTGTGCAAGTAGGGTTATGCTGTGTAGCCTTGCCCACACATCTGAGATTTACATACATTCAATATGGTAAGATTTGAATAAGGCTGTATGGATCCTATATGAATCTTAGTATGTAATCAGCATCATAGCATCTTGTCATCTGCAGGGCATATTCACATCTGTAAATGTACAGATGCCAGGGAGAGTGTATCACATGCAGGTTCTGACTGTTATTCGTGGTTGTGGCACCTTAACACTGCACTGATACCCCACGCTACCATGATGACAGGGCTGTCCATTCCACCCTTTCTCCCTGATGCTGAAGATGCAGTGCTAATGATTGAATTACAAACAGCACTGAATCCATCTTTGTATCTGATAAGATGTCTCTTGGCCTTTTGAAACACACTCCTGGCAATGCATTGCACAAACAGTTCATCCCTGGTGTTCCCCTTTTGTCCCAACAGCATCCACATTGCCTGTATTTGGGGCAACATTCCTCTTCCTTGTCTTTTCAAATGGTTTGGACAATACCTCAGATCAGTTCCTTCCAGCATAGCTGATGGACAGATATGATGGGAGTTGTGCTCCAAATGAGGCATAGGAGGGCAGGTCTGAGAGCAGGAGCCCATCCTCATTGGGCTGTGGATACAAATAAAACATCTGGTGTGTGTATTTGAGCTGTGTCTATATGAATACTGTGAGAGTGTGCCCCTGTCTACTTATACAGCCCCCTAGAAACTTTATGGGTATCCCAGAATGAACCTTTATGGTGTTAACCGTGTACTCTATGGAATGCTAATCTTGTATTCCATAGAATGTTCAAAGGTCAGAAATGAACATCTTTTTTTCAGTTTTCCAAATACATTAAGTATAAGACTAATCATGAAACGAATATGCATGGTAACTTTCAATTGTGTGGATTTTGAAACAGACCAAATAATCTTTCATTACATTTGTTTTAAATAATCCATAATTTCTTGTACCTTCTGAGCTTTTTCATTGAGTTTCTGGTGCAATGAATCAGTAACTGTTTGATATCCAATATGTCTGATAATTTTAAGAATTACTGTGGATAGCAACTTGTATTAATTTTTCCATCCCTAGTAAGAGAACTAAAATAAGGATTGTGATTACAAGGAATACTTTTTAAATTGATCACTATATTAAATAGCTTGTTAAATTCTATTTGCTTCTGAAAAGGAGGTATAGGATTTGTTAAATTAGATAGGAATTTTAGTATTTTAAATCTTTTATGCTAAGAATATATTGGATTAGAAAAAGGACCTCAGAGTTTCAGCTGCCTCACTCCAGCTTAAATTAAACTTGCTAGGTGTTTGTTTTAACTTGCAATATCCATGATTTGTGCATTTGGGACTCTCAGGAAAGTGAGCCATGCATTACCAGCTATCTCCCATGGTTAGATTTATTTTTTGTCCAGTCACCCTTTTAGCCAGAAATTTTAGCTAAATTTTAGCTGTAGGCTTGATCCAGGACTCCTATCTAAGATCCATTTCTGGTTCTCCTCCTTTCCTTATAAAGTTGTCAGATTTATTGTTCTTTCCCTGCCACTGGCATCACCAGCAAGTAGAACAGGTGATGGAAAGGGCACTATGTGGTGATATCATCATGTAATGTGCTCTAACAAAATTATTCTGAATTTAAATATGACTTTTAACCTGGTCTGAAATGATTCTGTCTTGATCAAAATAAGTTACTGTGGATTTATTGAAGGAGTGGCTTATTTAAATAGCAGTGAACGATAAAAATGTTGAACATGGCTTGCCATACTGTCTGAACCCTGGTAGCATAGCAGGTTGGAGGGGAAAACAGTCCTTCAGTAATACATGGACCATTGCACAGTTACTGAAGGGCACAAGTGTTAGCAGTAACACACACACACACACAAACATGCAAATGTGTATAAACAAATTACATTTGCTCCATTGTTTGTGCAGAGAGTTCTATTTCATTTTTAAGCACCTAGTATATTTTGGACACTATATAAATAAGAATAACCTTATTAGTATTATTTTCTAATTCTAGGAAAATGGCTCTCCAGAAGAACATGCTGTTTATGTATGGGACCACTTTATCACCCGATCAGCAGCTGAAAATGTATTTTTTGTTGCTCATAGTTACGGCGGACTTGCATTTGTGGAACTGGTAAGTGTTCCCATTTTATGAATCCTTCCTTGTCTCTTTTTAAATAATTGCAAGATTTATGTGTAATATTTTCCTTTTTATTACTATGTATCTACCTGCAGTTGTTTTAGCTTTTCTTACCATGAGTGTATTGCTTCTGTCTCCCTTTGCTAACTAGAAGGTCTCAGAGATGCCATTAAGTGGATATATCAGAGGTGTATTATTCCTTATAATACTCCTACCACATACTTAAACTAAAAAGGCAAAGAAGATTTAGGTTACTGGTTAATGGAAGGCTATCGAAGATGTAACATAAAGTAACATATAAAAACCCTCTGTAAAATAAATAAAGCCTCTGTATTTTGGACATCTTTCCTGTTCAACTCTTCCCTGAAGTTAATTGACGTTTAGCTAATTACATGAAAATATGTGAAACAAACCCCTGATGGATTGTGTTTCTGCTCTAGGTTTCTCCCATTTCCAGGGGCTTTTTCCCATAAGGAAGCTTTTTCTGAGGACGTCAGCATTAGGCAATTTGAAACTAGCAAGTCTCTACAATCTAGCAGTGATAAACTGGGCAGAGTGGGTGTTTGCAGCCATTACTTTGTTCAAGGTAAATGTTTCTCTTTGCTCAAAAAGAAACATTTATATCCAAGCATTCCCCTTCTCCAAGTTATGCAACAGTCTTCCCTTCACCTTTGCCATTATAAGGCAAAGTAAATAATCCCTTCATTTATTATCTGTAATAAATTTTAGTTCATTTGGATCAGCTCAGTCTCACATCTGGCTTATTTAACTTACTCTATGAGGCAACTGATATAAAGAACAATCATCTTCTCTTTATATACACCTGCCCAGACCCTAAGATCATCTTCAGTAGTCTTTCTCCAGGAGTCCCCACCAAAGGAAGTGGAGAGGGTCCTAAAGAGAGGTCCTATCCATTCTAGCACCCCAGTTGTAAAATGAGCTTCCCAGAGAAGTTTGTCTAGACCCTATGTTGGTTCCTTCCAGATTTTTTGAACTTCAGCTCCATTAGCCTGAGCCAACATGGTCATGAATGCAGGGAGCTTTCATCCAAAACATCTAAAAGGGAGCAGGTTGGGGAAGGCTGTGGTATTTTATATTGTGTTTCCCTTCCTACCACATAGTGTACATGTTAGGGAAAAATAACTGCCGTCCCCAAGAGCTAACAAATGAGAGCTGTCTTTCACACCAGTTGGTTCAGTCTGCCAGGCAGGAAAAGCTGGTGACTTTTGTGTTAGCAGGGCTTCTCATAAATTGCAGCTTTTATTTTGAATTTTAATAGGAGCTATCCATAGACTTCTGTAGTGAATCTATTTTAGGGATGGAGGTCCTCATTGCAGATAGTGCCTATAAAACATCAAAAGAAAGGTGATGAGTGCCTTATTGACACAGGAGTCACTAGCCTCTCCTGTTGCCAGGGATGGTGACATTTTCCCTAGTTTCTCCAGTACAAGTCCAGGAAAAGATGCCTAAGGAAAGATGTTCCAAGGAGTCTGGCACATCGTGGTCTTTTTTGTTCTAAGTTAAACCCAAATGTGAAGCCAGTTTCAGCAGCCTTTACCACTTTTATATTCAGTGTTGCTGCATGAAATTCAAGCTATGCATGGAAAGAGATGTGAATTTTTCTTAAAGGCACACCTGTCAGAGGAAACACATGTCTGCACATGCACAGAACCGACTACTACTTTAACAAGAAATAGGGATCTAAACTAGCACTAGCTCCATACCTAATGCATAAGCCTAAGCAGCAAAAACAATATTCTGGTAGCAGGAGAAGAAAGAATATCAAAGGGTACCAGCTGGTGGGAATAAACAGGCCATGGTGAGTTTTCATAGAGTCCAAACCCAGCATGCTTATTTTTCATGAACAAGCCACCCTGAAAAAAACATGGTTTGTTGGGTTGTTCATAAGCATGACAACATCTGATAATCCTGCTAGTGCTGCTTCCATTTGCTTTCATCCCTTCTGAGTTTCTGCAAAGGGTGTCCTAAACATGTTCACATCTATCTGTCTATTTATTTATTAATTTTGGATTGACTGATTGGCCTGTGTGGAAGTAAATGCCTGCTACTGGAAAATGTGTGTAGTTGTCCTCTCAGTTTTGCTACTTTGCTGTGAAATTTGCACTGTTCTCCACTCCATTTTATTACTTTGCTGTGAGATTTGAGCAGTGTCCCCCTCTGTTTTACTGCTTTGCCATGACATTGGTATATTTCTAGTATTTTTGCTTATAGCTCTGTAACCCATGTATATGTGTGACAGCTGGCAAAGAAAATCAGTAGAAAGGAGTGATAAGCATAGAGTTTAGGGCAGTGGAAAATGGCTCGTGGCTGTAGGAGAGAAGAAGGCTTAGGGGTGGATGTTCTTCCTCATTAGAACATAAAGCAGCCTTTAACAAACAAAGGGTGTCCACTAGCAAATTAAGTGCCGGGATGGATGATGAAATTGACAAGGACACTGGTAACATTGGCAAGAAGGAAGGTATCAGTATGCTTGATTAAGTAGCACACAGGCAGTCTTGTGCATTTGTGCAAGAGTGGAAGTCTCCCAGTTTAGTTTAAGTTTGCATATGTATTAGCACATTCATAGCTGCTCAGGAAAGTAATTTGATCTGGTGATCTACTACTTCTAAGTTTGCCTGAGTTACTACTGAGTGCTACTGAGTTTGCTACTGAGTTTGCCTCAGTAGCTGGCAGACCTGTTTCAGAAAAATTGCTGATGTAGGGACCTAGGAAATGAGTTCTGCCTTATAGATGCCTGGAATAATGCCAGCATTAGGACTGAGTGGGGAAACAAGCCCTGTTTATGTGCTGGATTAGTGAGTGAACAGCCAGTCCATGGTGGCTTATTCTCCAAGTGGCTTAGCTTGATATGTGACCCTGCCAGGAAAGATACATCTGCCAAAGAGAGAAGAGTTAATTTGATGTGATCTGAGAATGGAGTGAAAATTTATTGAGTAACATCTTTGAGGACATTTGGATGGGAAATGCCTGTTATGTAATGATTGCTTTAAAACTATCTATCCATGCAAATTAGCATTGGAAAATTTATGTTAACATGTATACTCTTTTGTCCTCTTTTTTGGTGGTGCACAATATTTGGCAATGGTTAAGTGGCTACTCTGTCAGTATTCAACTCCTTCCACATCTAAACTCCTTTTAGATACACAAAAGATAAATACAAAGTTCTTACACAGGGAAATACATATGTTCTGTGTTTTATCATGTAGAAAATGTAAGCCATTCCAGAAAATGCAGAACTGTATAAAAGCACTGCTTGGGAAGATGAATCTATGATGTAAGATTATGGTGTGTCTAATAAGCAATTGCAAAGCCTTTTAAAGGAGTAAAGAAATGTAAGGTAGTACTATAATGTGAATAATTTACTAAGAACATGTTCAAAAGAAGTTGAGTAGGAACATGTCCTCAATAAATACTAAAGTAACTACAGTTATACTTGCTAATATTACAGTATCACAAATATACTGGCAAAGGCATCATACTTTTTATTTGTTGATTTTTAATTAGCAAAGTAATAATGCTTGCTAAAATAATTAAGCTTCAAAACAGTTTTGAACTAATGCTCCTATATACACTCTTTTTTTAGTCTGGCTTGAGATTGCATAGCTAACTCATGACCGATGTGTCATTCCCATTTTGCTTGTTTCTCTTGTCATCCTGGTGGATATTCCTCTACTTTTGTTCTTCTTTAATACGAAGCACACAGATGTTTCAGAACACAATTTGACTTCTGACCTTGGGTCTCTTAGGGTCAGGGTATTCGGGGCCTGTGAAATTATCAAAAGCAAAGTTAAAAAAAATTCCTCATTGCAGTAAGTAAGCAGTAAGTAAGAAGTTAAAAAGGAGCTTTGTCAGATAGACAAGATGGTCCCAGTAAGGGTCAGCTTCTATAGTCTGCTATCTCTGCAGGAGGTGTATGCATGGGAAGAAGAATAAAATATACAACACAGGCACATCACGTATCTATCATGCACATGCAAAGCTATATCTGAAAAATATATTTAAAACAAAACTTGAATTAAAGAAAGATATAAATGCACAATCATACAGTTTTAACACATTGATTAACAAATTTATTTGCTGTAACTATAGGCAAACATCCTGTGTATGCCATCCAAACAACTATGAAATCTTCTGTTGAAATACTTCACTTTTCCACGTATTTTTTTCTGTACTTTTTCCAGTCAGAGATGTTTGTTAGTGTCTTATAGAGAGAGAGAGAGAAAGTTACAATGATTCTGGTATGTCCAAATCATTTTCTAAATGAAGTCCTTATTTTCTCTTATTTTGGTGCTAAAAAAGTTCGCTTTTTGCTCAGCATAAAACTCAAGTCAGACAATACTTTTTCCCTGTCCTTTAAGGTCCTCCCCTCTCATTTGCCCTTCATTATGGAAACAGAAACTCTCTCATCAGTACCATCTGCTTAGCCGTCATTTACCTGAAGTATTTTTTTCTCTCTTACAGTCTGCTATCTTTTATTCTTTGTAGTCTTTGGTAGTCCTTTCTTTGTAGACTTCCCTTTTATGTTTTAAGGTATTTTATGCATACCAGAGAACCTTGACTATGGGGAATTAGAAGCTACAGTAAAAAAGGAAGAATTTCTATATATGTGTACTTCTGATACAGTAAACAATTTTCAACAGATGCCAAAGTGATGGTAGAAAGGATCCTATTTTCATTTGGCACGATCATGTTTTATTTTTCTGGACAAGAGTACATGATTGACTCCCACATTTGTCAGAAATTCATAAAAGAAATTTATCATAAATTTTCGTGCATTTCATAATCAGAAGTGTTGAGTCAGGTGGAAGGAGAGTCCTTACTGTTTCAGGATAAAGAATGTTGAGGATCATGATTGTTCTCTTGTTCTGCTGCTTGGGACTGTAGCACAAGAGCTGTTACTTTCTCTGGTATTCTTTCCACAAAGTCATCTGGAGAAACTGTCTATGCACCAGCCTTTCTATAAACTTTTCTGC